TGCTGTAGTCACATACACATCCTCTGGGATACACGGTACACGTTCTGTACAAATGGAAGTTTCCATAAATGGGGGTACCCCTAAAGCCCTAAATCATCCATTTTAATAGGATCTTCCCTTATAAATCATCTAGCTATTGGATCTATTGGGGTATCCCCCATTTATGGAAACCCCCAAATATTCTACAAACTAAGGCATGAGAACGCGCAATCCCCAGCAAATGCGTCAATAGCTGACCCTAAAGGCGTCAAAAGTTTAAAGGGAAACAATGTCGCTGTGGGTCCAAAGTTGAAAACCCAGGAAAAAAAAATCTCAGTCCTGGTGCCGGTATGAAATGGTATGAAACCATCCTATTTTGCTCCTCCCCTCGATATATTGATCCGTTGCTACATCGCAGGATCGGCGCCTGAGTTGGGCGGACACGGAAGCGGATCAAAATTCAGCGCCACATTGCCGCGTCCCGCGGAAGGACAGAAAAAGTTCACGGGGCATTCGACGCAATGGGATCCATTGTGCCCATGCCTCCGGTTCAACGGTTTGGCTCCACTGGGGATATGGGGATATGGTCAGACTAAGCAAGTTCAGTTCAAATGGTGGGTTGGCCTGTGGAGTTTTGATAAATGAAATGTTGCATGGCTGCAAACCAACATGACCTTCAAACATGGATTGAAATGGATGGAAAAGCTTCTGAACCAAAAGTGACTTGAGATTTAGGCTGGTCCAGAAATTGGATGTTCCCCAATATGTTCCCCAATATGTTCCCCAATTAATATGGATGATACAAATAAATAGATGGATAGTGATAGATAGATCTATGAGAATTTTCATCGGGAAATGATTCGTTCGCACTGGCATTTCCGGCGCCTGCCACTGGGGCAATCGCAAAGCCAAGCCTGGAAATATTCGGGGTCCACCTCGGAAGCGCGGAGATAACTAGGGCAAATGATAGATATCTCTATAGTCAATGGGGATTAGATGGGGATTAGTCGTACCAAGTTATAACTGGGGGGTACCCTCTGGTAACTTGACAGTTTGCTATGCAGTCATAACATCTTTGATAGGTAAAAATGTATGTATATATATATATATTACATATGTATATATTTAGAGGTAAGGAACCTATAAATGAGCCAATTTCCGTAGCTATGTCAAATTACAGTACTAGAGGGTAAGATGACAAAGTATTCCATGCAGATTTGCAAAGTCTGGCTGCCACGGGCACCAGGATGCGTGTGAGGATCGGCAAGGGGGTGCCCTCCACGTTCGCTGCCAGCGCCTCTCCTAAGGATCATCCTATCAGAGATGGAGGATTAACCATCAATGATGAGGGTTTCACATGGTTTAGTCATCCTCAAATTAGGTATACATAGCCAACATCATATATATATATATATATATATGCACCAGGCCCTGCCACCCCCCCCCTCCCCCCCCCATATGGGATGGGTCCCATATACTGGTCCCATATGAGATCTTCCCCCTCCCCCCCTGTGGTGTGGTGGGGGTGTGGCACTGTCCCCCTCCCCCCCCTGTGGTGTGGTGGATGGGTCCCATATACTGGTCCCATATGAGATCTTCCCCCTCCCCCCCCTGTGGTGTGGTGGGGGTGTGGCACTGTCCCCCTCCCCCCCCTGTGGTGTGGTGGATGGGTCCCATATACTGGTCCCATATGAGATCTTCCCCCTCCCCCCCCTGTGGTGTGGTGGGGGTGTGGCACTGTCCCCCTCCCCCCCCTGTGGTGTGGTGGGGGTGTGGTATGGTATGGTGGGTATGTATGGTGTGTATGGTCGGTCTGGTATGGCATGTTTGGAAAGTATGGTATGTTTGGTATGTATGGTAGGTATGGTATGTATGGCATGAGTGGTTGGTATTGTATGGATGGTAGGTATGGTATGTAAGTCTGTTGGATATGGTATGTTTGATATGACAGTATGTATGGTCTGTATGGTATGTATGGTTACTATGATGGGTATGGAATATGTCCTATCTAAGGTAGGTATGGTATGTATGGCATGTATGCTTGCTATTGTATGTATGCTATTGTATGTATGGTAGGTGTGGTAATTACATTTCATATGTATGGTATGTATGGTATGTATGATAGATATGATAGGTATGGTATGCATGGCATCATTGACATGTATGGTAGGTACGGTATATGTTCAACAGAGGTAGTGTTGTCAGAGTACACAGGTAGTAAACAGGAAGTAGATACAGTAGATACATAGCACATGTATGTATGACTATAGGTAGCACGTAGGTACTTTGAAGGAGTATGTGTGCTACGTAGGTCGCCTAAAAGGTAGCATGTACCTAGTAAATGCGAGGCTGGTAGTCAGAAATGCTGCAAAGACCTAGCAAATACGACGCTGGACCTCAGAAATGCTGCCAATAGCTTGCAAATAGAAGGGAATTGGGGCTACTACCTGGGGACCCAACCCATGGGGGGGGGGGTGGAGAGACGGAGGACGGGACCATATATATACACACAAGCAAACAAATAGATAGATGAATAGGACCCAAAATGAACAGATCCAAATCTAAACCAGTGCTTTTCAGGTGGTATTTGATGGGGGAAGGGGTTCCCAGAGACATGAGAGTAGCACCGGAAAGTGATACGGAAGAGACTTGAAGATCCACCATGCAAAACAAACATGGCACAGAAAAAATATCTCCTGGTATGGGATTCATGATGGTACCTATCTCATGTAAGAATCATCATGCTGGTCATGGTTCGAAACTTCTAGCAAAATATTGACCAACCTCAAGCCCAATTCTCAGCTCAATCTTCACTTCTGTATGGGCCAAAGATTAAGACCCAAGACTCGGAACGCATATTTTTTTCTTGGTGGCTTTGAGTGTTAAGCCATCCAAATTTTGATATCAAGATCATTGAGAAATTGAGTCATTCCCAACTCCTGGAGCTGATTTCACTGTGGTTCACCATGTTTTCGCCCACACAGCCGCCGCAGTCCCAAGCGTCTTGTCATGTCATGTGAGTTGAAGTTCTCGGCACAGAGCTGCCCCTGGATGTTCATCATCCCAGAAGACATATGGTATAAATCGGTGGATGTAAGTAGTGTGGTAAACCCTAAACCCGATCATAAACTTCATAAACCATCCCCAATACTTAAACAGTCTGAAAAACACACATGCGCAAATGGCAGGTGTACTACCTTATTCGCCCATCCCCAGCTTTTAAACAAGGGACCCTGAGATACCCTAAGTACGTAAACTAACCTTGGTTGATATATGTAGTGAGATATCTTGAAGCGCAATTTCCTTTCAGAGCAATGTGTCGAGTGACATCTGAAACTGGAAACCTCAAAGATCATCCCGTGACTTTGTCAAAACAATGCAGAAAGAATGGGCTACCCCTACAATCCAATGGTTCATCACCATTCTCCCGGTCAAAATGATTGGTATAACATGGTATAACGGTATAACAGATCATGAAAATATATCAGATACCAGATACATCCAGATACCACCAGTTACCACCACCCAAATTTTGGGACCCAAGTGCCCGTTCTCAGGCACCTCAGTTTGATATGACCGCAGGATGCAGAAAGACAGATCATGTTCCTTCACAGCGGCCGTCTTCTTACCTGCTTTGCAGCGAAGACGGAACCAGAAAATCCCCATGTACAGAGTACCGGTTGCATATTCAACTGTGGTATTCATGCAAACCCACGTAAACAGTTCGCAGATGAACGGTATCCCCAGTTGGTCATTGACACCTCCATGTGGGTTCAATATCCCCCCACTGGGTTATGATTTAGTTTGATTGGTAAACTCAATGATAACCTCCAGTTTTAAGTGATATAATCCCGCAATTTCCAAAAGAAAATGTGTAAATGGAGCGTGGTTCATAAAGTATTGAGTTAAGCACATCAGGAAAATCAAGTATTACCGGATGGATAATAGGAGAAAATCACCAACCTGCATAGGCCATTCTTGGGTCGTTTCCAGTGCCGTCGCAGTGACATCATCATAAATTATCCAATGTATCAAACCCATATAGTATATATAAGCCGATTTGCCGTTTTCGTTGTGATGAATATCCTCGCAAGAAAGCACCAGAATCACGAAGCAGGCTTGACCAAAGGTACCGTCTTGAAATGTTAGTCTTCAAATCAGCATGTCTCCCAATTTGGATCCAAAAGTCCCATGTTATCATCATTTTTTCTCACTAAGATATATCGAAATTGCCAAAAAAAACTAAGGCATACAAAGCCATCAATTATTGATGGTATATATCCCTATATATCCCCGATAAAATGGCCATATATGGAAGGAATTCTGGTATTCCCCATGACGCACCCAGATCTTCTGCCAAGCTGCAGTTTGAATCTGTCACCAACCGCATCGCCTTAGGCTGCTTCGTTAAGCAGATTCCCGGCCCAGTTGGAAGTCGGAAACCATTCAATTTGCTAATGGTGATAATCGTGTGTGTGTGTGTGTCTATATATATATCTTATAGGGAGTTACCTCCATTTATAAGGGATTTCCCAGCTAGCCACGTTTGATTACCGGAGGGGTATGTACCCGTTCGAGCGACGCGAGTTCCGATTCCTTTTTGGTTCTATCTCCATTCTACTTGGTTATATGTCCGGCCAGTGTTATTGATACCCTCTGGTAATTCTAATATAGCGATGGAAACATCACCCTTTTTGATGGGTAAATCATCGAACGAAATGGGCAATCCATACCATAGCTATGTTACATCACCAGCGGGTACATCCCAATCATCCTTCTTAGAATCTCCGTTGGTTGGTTTGAATGATTTGTTTAAATCGTGCTATATGATATGCCGCTATTAACCGATTTTTAAATTACAAGGAGGGTAACTATCACTAGCTAGTATTCACTATCATTAAACTATCATTGGTTTTGATTAGCTATCATTCATCATGGGATGTGAATAGGTATAATATATATAGAACATATTAAACATCAACTATCAATAACCACCATTGATTATCATTGATATATTTCCCCACCTGCCAGGTGAGGGTTGTTAGATTTTATCAGAGTTGTTCTTGGGGTCAACGCCCCGAGGCGGGCGTGGTTTTTTCCACGTTTGTGCTCTTTGGCAGTATACGTGTTTAACGCTCTTGCCGACTGTAAGATGACGCTACGGAAGACACGTTGCCCAACTTTGTTGCTGACATCTTGCTACCTTGACCGGGACTTGATAACGTTCCTTTCGACTGTAAGATGACGCTACCGAAGACACGTTGCCCAACTTTGTTGCTGACGTCTTGCTACCTTGACCGAGAGGCGGGGTGGGGGGGATGATAACGTTCCTTTCGACTGTAAGATGACGCTACCGAAGACACGTTGCCCAACTTTGTTGCTGACGTCTTGCTACCTTGACGGGGAGGGGGGGTGGGGGGGTGGGGGGGGATGATAACGTTCGTTTCGACTGAAAGAGCACTGAGGAAAAAAAGAATGCATTCAACCTCAAGCAGATGTTGCGGAATTGCAAAAGTTTTTTTTTGGCATTTTGACATCTTGCAGCAAACGTCAAAACATCATAGATCACAAGCACAAAATACTGTAAATTACAGTGTAAAAAGGTGATTTTTGATTCAATCACCAAGTACACAATTGTAGAAAACCCACACCCGCCTCAAGGCGGTGTTCCCTTGTTCTTCTCCTTCTTCTTCTTCTCCTCCACCACCTCTGCCTCCACTTCCATGTTCACTTCCGCCTTGCCAACTCTTCGCCAAGCTCTTCGCCAACTTCCGCACGCAGTGGGCACTGCTGGACCTCAACTGCAAGGGTCTGAGCGCACTGGGCACCGCTGGACCTCAACCTGGGACCTACCGGTGGACCTCAACCTGGGACCGTCCGAGCTCAGTGAGCACCGCTGGACCTCAACCTGGGACCCTCCGAGCTCAGTGGCCAGATAGAATGCCAGAAGATATGCCAGGTAGAATGCCAGAAGATATGCCAGATAAAATGCCAGAAGATATGTCAGATAGAATGCCAGAAGACTTGCCAGTAACAAAACGTATAGATGCCATGGTGGGGATAACTCGAAGTAAAGTAATCTATTTCCACTTTCTTAGTTACATTCCATCAACCAGTTGAGCAGTGCTCAAAACCCTGTATCATCCCTTGAAAAACTGGTTGAGACAGGATTCCCCTGGTGGATTGTGATCATCCCCAATATATTGGTTAGTATAATCCGATTATAGTATAATCATGTATAGTCCCCGAACTAATCATCAACCAATGGAGGTCTAGCAGGCACTGCTATTTTAATTTATATAATTTATAATAGCCTATAATCCTACCATCTGGTTAATTTGTTGACGTGGCCATGGAAAATAGCCAGGTTTGATAGGTAAATCTCACAAACTATCGGCTGTTTTTCGGGCATAGCTCCCATAGCTATGTCAAATAACCAGAGGCTCATCCATGTGAATCCCAGTCACTATGAAATCTACATGGTAACCACTCGTAAATGTTAACCACTAATCATCTCCCATTCATATTAAATCACCATATAATCACCATATAATCACCATATAATCACCACATAGTCACCATATAATCACCATATAATCACCATATAATCACCATATTTTGTCACCATATAATCACCATTTGGTCATTGGCGATCCGTCAAATCCCACCTCCCCGTGGAGGATGGGAATGGTGACGTAGCCGCCCGTGTGGGTCACATCGATCACTGAGGGAATGGACCACCAGCCCGAGCGCATCGACCTGGGATCCCCATGAGCCCGGGCGGTTCCACTTTGGAATGATGTAGCTTTTGTTGGGCCATTTAAGGCATCATTACATGGCTTACCCTCTGGTAAACTAACAGTTTGCTATTGAAAATGGCAATTTATAGATATTTATAGTTGATTTACCCATCAAAAATGGTGATTTTCCATAGTTATGTTAGTTTACCAGAGGGTATATCATGGGTTATATCATGTTATATCCCAAATGGGGGTTGCTGTAGATCACCATGGTCCTACCCATTTCTAACCCCAGCTTAGGTGCATCTCGTCCCACTGTTGTTTTCTAATAATTGCATTTATTGGCGGTAAGGGAGCATCACTGGACCCAAATAGCTAATCAGCCAATCTCAAATGAGCCACTATTGATGGATTCATGTTGCAATCCTGTACTTGTATGATCTTGTATGATCTATTAACTGAAATGCCATGCCATACGGCATGTTTAAAAACTGCGTGGCAAAGCACGTTGTGGATGATGTTTGCAACCCCTTAGAGGAGTTTGGAGAATCTGTGCAGCTCCCAGGTGGCACCTCCAATCGGCCAATGAACTGCCTGACAGGTTCACTCTCCGCAGGCCTCGGTTGAAGGGAAAACATATGGATATGAGATCAAGACCCTGGTACCCTGCTGAACATCACAAACCATGAATAGAATATTGAGGCAAACATAAACCAAACAATAAACCATCCAAAATTCTATGATTTGCTTTCATTGGGCAGCGCAGTTTTGGAATGCAGTTGAGTTTCGGAATCCGATTGAAAACATACCCCCATAATTGGAATGACGGAAAATGACCCCCGAAATGGGTGGTTACTTAGAACCACACCCATATGCTATGAAACCAGTTGAGATGGTCAAGATTCGAAAGAACTCAACTCATGAAAATCATGGCTGAATCCAAGATCAAAAATATGTTTAAAAACTAGCCGTAACTACCCAGATTCCAATATGTGTCCATTGTTGCTGTTGAATTCCCCCATGGAAATCCAGATCAAATCCCCCGGATAGCCACAATGACATCTCCGCCACCAAGCGTCTGTACGGCGGCCGAGGACCCATGCCATCGATCTGGCCATCAAAATCTATGGGGCTGGAAGAATTGTCTTTCTTAGTAAAAACCAGCCAAATCAAATCTCAATCGGTCGATCATGGAGTCGTTTCTCATCAATCCATGGGAATCCCCGAATGACGATCCACTGCAGCTGGCAGACCCTGGCGCCCTGCAGGGACAGCGAGCGCAGCGGCAAGGTCTGCAGACACGGGGGCATCGCCACTTCGTCGTGGCTGTGGTATTGCACCTGGGCACGGATGTTCATGGATCATGAAGGATTCATGGAGATTTCACCATGCTGAAGCATCAGATTTCATGAGATTTCATGGGGATTTCATGGGATTTCATGGATGATTGATGGATAGTTGGAATTACTAAGCCCTATTGATCTTAAACACCCCCACAAACCATGGTGGATGTGGGGGATGAAATCACAATTTAAGGGATGTTCAATATTAGGGGGATGGGATAGGGATTCCCAGTTCATGGAATGACGATCATACCCTGCTTAATAGAAAGAAACTTCAGAACCCACTCAGTCAAACTCATAGATGTGTCCATGATTTACTAATTAAATACGTTCCAAATCACTACCCTCTGGTAATTTAACATGGCTATTGAAAATGACCATTCATAGTGGATTTACCCATTGAAAATGGTGATTTTCCATAGTTATGTTAGTTTACCAGAGGGTACTAATTAAATACGTTCCAAATCACTACATCTTCCAAGTCCATTGCCCCAATGGCTGGCCATCGGAGATCATCGGATTCCAAGCGGCCGAATCGGTGGTGCACTTCCCAGCTTGGCAAATCCGCGACTGCTTCATCCGCCGGACGGCTGTGGGCCTGGAATCCACACTGTATGCCTGGGCGCTTCGCAAATATGCAGATGCGCTAGATGTATAATATACATAGGCATCCATGCGCACCTTTTTGACTCCAGCGAAAGGTGGGAGGTTTTGCAAGCTGTGAAAATGCCACAGCTTCCTCTGAAATTCTGCATTCAAAAATGATCCTGATATCTTTTCCATGGCAGGAAAAGTTCACATAACTCAAATCACATCACAACGGTTCGAAAGACAAATTTGGCCTTTCCATGGCAGGAAAGTTTTCCGGTATCATATGAAGATGGGTCATGGCAGACCCCAAGAAAATGAAAAAAAAATTGAAAAACGCATTGGAAAACAGCATCTCCGTGTCCACACCCAAGAGGCGGGTGAGGCCGGGCTAAAAGAAATTGGTCTTTGAGATAAATATCGCAGAGAGTCAGGTACGATGTTCAGCCTAAACTTCTACCAGAAAGTCTAGGCATCCATGCGCACCTTTTTGACTCCAGCGAAAGGCGGGAGGTTTTGCAAGCTGTGAAAATGCCACAGCTTCCTCTGAAATTCTGCATTCAAAAATGATCCTGATATCTTTTCCATGGCAGGAAAAGTTCACATAACTCAAATCACATCACAACGGTTCGAAAGACAAATTTGGCCTTTCCATGGCAGGAAAGTTTTCCGGTATCATATGAAGATGGGTCATGGCAGACCCCAAGAAAATGAAAAAAAATCTGAAAAACCACATTGGAAAACAGCATCTCCATGACCCCCTACTCGACGCTTTCTGCGTTGAAGGGTCTCCACTTGTCAAGTAAAAATTTTGCCTTTGCTGAAAAAGTCAACCCCGGCAGGAAACTCAGGCCATCTTGTAAATAAATTCGGGCCACACGTGATGATCCCCACCTTCCTTTGAGGAGGGTGAGCTCCATAGAGCCAGAAATTTGAAAAACATGAGTTGCTCCACCGCGTCTTAATGAATACGGTCTGAAACAGTGAGCTTGAAGATCAAAGACTTTCAGGTAAAAAGAGAACTTGTTTCTGAAGTTCTGCGCAGTGTTGGTCCAAATTGGGACCTTTGATAAACCTTGGGAGTTCCGCAGCAGTAACACCTGTTCAAGGGCGTCGACAGTAAAGATGTCTTCCAGAGTGATTGGTTCAGTGGCTGCATCCCGTTTGCCTGTTTTGGTGGTCTCTAAGGTAATGATAGCCCGGGACCTGGAGAGTAGGATGTTGCACGGCTTGACCAGCAACAACTCCCCTGTGCGGAGCAAACCAAAGAAGCCAAGCAATAACAAGCCTCCAAAAATCAAATCATTATGCATCAACGCGGAATGAGCAATGGAATAAATGATGTATTTTGTCAGTGGTGGAGCTCGATTTGGAGCTTCTAATTTTCTCCACGTTCGAAAAAGCTTCCAAGCAGAGGGCACCAACTTTTTGGTGTAGGGTTCAAAATGATGTAGTCCGCACAACGCGTCAGATACTACATGCAAAGTTTCACCTGCAACCCACTGGGCCTCAACCCAGTCTGCAACCATGTCATCCAGTTGTTGATTGCATCTAACCTTTTCGAGTACAGGTAGCAAACGCCTGACAGCTATGTAGTAACGCTCTTGCGTCCGTTCAGAGATTGCTGTATCGACGAGGAGGATATTCTTTCTTTGCTTTCTCCTTTCTGCTTGGGTTCGTTTAGCTAGCAGTTTAGGTCTCCCGACTGGCATGATCCGTCGGGTTACTGGACGATTCTACATGTCCCAGTACCAGCGTCACGCCATGTATCAATAGGACTGCGTTCAAGGACTTCACTAACCTGTTGAGAAAACGGCTGCCGGAACGTCCCTTTGCCACCACCGACATGCAAACATATGAGTCAGTTATATGAAAAAGTCTTACATTGCACAGCTTTAAATGAGAAATCGAAAAGAGGACAGCTTGCTGAATAGATCGCAACTCCAACGCATTTATGTGTTCTGTGTGCTTCCATTTCAGTTTGAAACAATGTTGCCACTGCCACCATGATGCCTCCACACTCTGTCTTGGGAACGCTTTAGGGTTAATGATATCCCCTGTGGTTATTCTGATGTCCGAGCCTGTATGGTTGACCCGTGTCAAAAGCACCCGATTCAACTCATGCAGAGGGGAAGACAAATTGAAATGTGAAAACCCATATTGCAAGCTACGCCCAAGTGGTGCTTTCAATCTCCAGGAGGCTCTGTAACCCGGTGCCATCCCCATACGCAAGCACAAATGTTGATAACTCAAGCTTGGGATGAACTTCTTGCACAAAGCAGCGGCTGCGATTACAAATGAGTACACACTGAAACAGTCCCCCAAGAGTGACAACCTGGCATTTTCATATGCTGCTAAAGACTGTTTCTGCTTGCTAGCGCTAAAACAGAGAGAAGTATGTTTGTATCCATATCCCAAGAGAAGTTCACGCTCATCGCTATCTGCCAGTCTCCACTTTTCACCCTTCCAAAACACAAAGCGATCTTGATAATGATATGGAGGAAACTTGAAATGCTCGCTTTGCCATCTCGCCACTGTGTCGGGGTCACATCGTTTTAGACCGGCTGGTTGTGGTGGCGGCTTTGACCTAATGATTGCACGCATGGCAGTGGGGAGAACTTCTCCCTGTGTACCTCCAGGCCAGTACACTCCTGGCTCAATCCACTGTTCCATCTCCGGGTACGGTGCTTTTGCTATGAGCTTAGTCCAAAAAGTGTCAGGCTCAAATTCTAACCCCTCTAATGCACCTTCCAACTCTTCGCTGCACCAGCAAAGACGTGGGCGATTCATTGGAACTGCATCAGCGCAATTGAGGTGGTAGGGCCAGGTCTCCAGTTCTTCAGAAATTTGTTCACATTCGGGCTTGCCCATGGACGCTACGTTCTCACCCACAAATTTGACTACAATGTTACCTCCAGCTACTTTCCTCAAGAGTTTTAGAATACGAGGCATCTCAAAGAAAAGCTTGGATTGTTCTCCCTGCAAGCCCTGCCGAAACGCTTTCACTGATGTCAAGTCAGTGCATGGAAAACCTGACCAGAGATGTATTTCAGTGATTCCTACAAATTTCAAGAGCCATGAGCGCACCATTACTTCATCCAGCGTTCTGACGTCTCCATATTGTAATGCTTGTGGCCAGCGCCTGCTGCTGACCCTGTTGGCTGGCCCATGAATTTCGAAGCTTACCATTCCCATAGGTCTTATTCCCAATATATCGTAACAGCGGAAACTTCCGCCGATACCATGAAACAGTGACACCACCAAAATGGGAGCAGTTGCTTGAGCATCCATTCCTGATTTACTGGCGGCTACAAAGTCTTGTCCCTCTGATGACAACTCATACGCAATCCCAACTGCTCCTCCCGTGTTTGAAGCATCTGAGGCTGTAGTGACTTGGCTGACAGTGGCTCCCAAATTCGTTTGAAAGAAAGGTGTTGCACATACTATGGCCCACAATTCACGACGCACTCTGAGCACCAGACCCAAATCAAACTTTTTGCTCCCCACATATTCCCAAGTCGCTTCAAGGAAGGACACACCAGGTCGTCTAAACTGTAGTATGTGGATCCAACGCCCTGCTATCACTTGAACATGTTTCTTAGACAAGTGGGTGCGGCTCAAAACCCACAAAGTAGCTTGTATCACCCGCAGCAGGCGGTTGGGAGATCCACCTATAGTATTTGTTGCTCCGCTGACAAGTGCTCCAAGTTCTTCCGCTTCAACAACACCCCTTTTCCGCTTTTTCTCTGAAGATACCACTTGGGCTTTCTGCCAGGCGGTCTCTGCTAGTTCATGCAAACGTTCTCCCCCAATCATCTCTTCTCCTTTGTCCACAATCTGACCTCCAGCGTAGTTGTCTAAATAGACATGCCACCACGATCGATTCTGCCGCTTTGCCTCTTTTAACAGTCCTACCATCCAGAGAGGGACAGCTCGATTCCGTACCACCTGTTCAGCTTCACTCAAAGACCCTTGCAACAAGATTTGTTCGCTGACTTCTTGCATGATTGCGACCGATGACAGCCATCCCATCGGTAACACACAACAACTCAAGGCATATCGTACCGCAGGATCTTTTCCGATCTCGTTTCCCCATCTCAAAATGTTGAAAGATAAACAACGACGCCATTGGTGAGGCAAAGCAAAAAGATAGAACGCATTACACATGTCCGATTGCCAAATGCGTACTTCTTCTTTTCCTTCAGTCACTACAGACATCCAGCTAGTAATGCTGGGTAATTTTTTCACTGCTCCTTCCAATTGCAACATAACAGAGTTAGAAGGGACCAAATTCATGATAACACGAAGGATGGGTTCACCACTGTCAATGGTTGATGTTTTTGGGACTCCAAAAAGACCATTCAACACTGGTTCGCCCCGAAAATGCAGCACTTGATCCAACGGTGTCCAGTCACAAACGCCACGATTCACCAGAACACGTGTGATTCCATCAAGCTCCCCTGTTTCCACATGTATACGCCCTTGCAACTTAGGCAATTTCTGACCCTTATCCGGCAAAATACAAAGTTCAGGCTCCCTCAAAAACCTACCTGTCACAGGCGACACCCACTTCAACAAGTCAATGCATCCACCATGTTCTTTGGGGGGAAGTGCAGGTTCAATTTGTCTTAAAGTAAGTTTATGACAAACACCAATCTCTTCTCCCTTGTAGTTGACCCTGGCAAGCTTGACATCTTTTTCGATTGCATCTAGGGTCACTGGCTCTTGCGTCCCATGCCCCAACAACCGGTCGGTCATCTGGTGCACGGTCTGAAAGGCGCTCGCTTCTGCTTTGATCCATCTACCTTGTTCCAGTAGTTTCTGCCTCCCGACCAGAGTATTGCAAGCGTAGCACGCAAGGTATGTCCAGCAATCCCCAGCATGTTTCTTTGCAAAATCTTCTCCCGCTGCTTCGAGCAGAGAAATCTTGAGCAGTTTGTCTCTAAGCCCGGCTAACTCACCCTCTCGAATAGGCAGAGCCAAACGTTTCCGCCCGGCTCGAAACCTCTCGCTGGAGTTAAATAGCACCGACCAGAGTGATGAATTCTTCACACCGTCCTCGCGATGCCCAACATGCAGTAAAGTCCAGGCCAGGACACATCCTGTGCGTTCCAATGTGTCAGACAGCTGCAGGACTGACAAAAAGCTCAAGGGCTGATTAGTCGGATTCGTCTCTGACACAACACTGTCCAACCGCGGGTACCCCGCGTTGGCAGCGATGGCAGAGGGCTCCAAAGGAGTCGGGTTCGTTTCTGACACAACACTGTCCAACCGTGGGTACCCCGCGTTGGCAGCGATGGCAGAGGGCTCCAAAGGAGAAATCTCCGCAACGGCCTTGACCAGCAAAGAACCTTCAGCCACGGCTTGTACCAGCGAAGGCAAAACTAGCCCTTGGGTTTCTCTTCGGTCTTTTCCTTGTTCTTCTCCGATTCTTTTCTCCTCAACGCCTCCCATCCTGGCCTCTGATCCCATTTTCCTCGGCCTCCTTTCTTTCCTTTGCCTTTTCCTTTGTTCTCTCCTTTGTAATCGCCCGCCCATCTCCAGAGTTCCAATCGCTGCGCCCCTTCCCCCCTCGGCCACGGCCGGCACTCGGAGTCCAAGTGCTGGGAGGAGGGCCTTGAACCTTGGAGATGAGCCGAGCGTGTTTTCGGGTGGCCAGCAAGGCCGCTGCCCCTGCTGCACTGGCCTCCTCCAAAGGAAAGAGCTCGAGGTGCTTGGCCATCTGCCACGAGCCATCTACCAAGCTTTGATGTATGGCGATGAATCTCGCCGCCAATCCGTCGGCTGCCCTGGCTAAGTCTCCTTTTCTGACCAAGTCCAAACAGGCGGCCAGATGATGAAGTTCTCGCATCTCCCGCAATTGATGCGGATAGCTGCTCTTCACGTGCAAGTTGAAATATGTCATCACCTTCACGCCGCTGGTCATGGTCGAGCTCGGGTGCCCCAGCTCGGTCAAAGCGCTCTGATCCAACTGTTCCTGTATGTGGCTGACAAGCATCCTGAGGACAGACCCTGGATGGTCCCTTGACTTCTTTCGCAATGGGGCCTCTAAGTCTTCGTCGCTTGACACTGCCTCGGAGACCTCGTCGCTGTAGGAGCTGGAGTTGGAACTGCAGCTCACGATCGTTCCATCCTGTAATTTCCTCTTCTTCTTGGAGGTCTTCTTCTTCCCTTTCTTCTCTTTCTGCTCCCCCTCCGGTGTCCTTCCAAACACTTTGGCTAATGCTGCAGTGAGGTTCTCCATATCCGTCTTCTTCGACTGCTTCTTCTTTTTCCTCTTCTTCTCGGCTGCCCTCTGAGTCTTCGCTGCTAAGGCCTGTTTCAACAATTGGCCGCTCAAGCCTTTCAAAGTGGAATCTTTTGTATCCTCCAGTGGCAGAGCGTCTCGATGATGTCGATGGCTGGAACGAGGGTGACCTTTGCGGGCTACGGCCTTGGCCAGCGCGCCTGCACCCTCTCCCAGATTTGCCCCTGTTGTCAGGCGTTTCTCCGGATCCAAGACGAACCTTCGTCCTCTGACCCACTGCTGACATCCTCTGCGACAGGGGTCCCCGGGCTGTAGCCATCTTCGACCCGTATGGTGCCAGGATCTTGCAATCGCTCTCGAACTGCTTTGAGGCGGCTCCGTAGCTCTTCTCTGGTTGCCTTCTCCTCTTCCTTCTTCTTCGGCTTTCCTCCTTTGCCAGATGTCTCCGGCTCCTCTTCTCCTGCGGCATGCTCTCGCTTTCTGGGCCCCTCTTTCGCCTTTGGTGTCTTGGTCTCTTTCTTTCTCCCAATAGGTTTCTCTCTCTTTGGGAGGATTTCTGGAGCGGCGCCCAGGTGTGCTTGGCATCACTGCTTCTGTCGCTTTCAACCAATCTACACCAGCGTCTAAACTGCTTGCGGCTACATACTCCTGAACTGAGATGAACCTGTCCCAGCTCCATAGCCGGATCCGGGTCACATGCATGAAAGGAGTGTCTGCATCGTCCTTCTCTTCGGTCATGAGACATGGTCTTGTCAAACATAAATGAATGCGGCGTCGAGCATCGTTGAACTGCCCGTACAAAACCTGAGAATAGGGAGTGTCTTCGGCGCCCAAATGGCGGCACTTCAGAACAATGGAACCATCCAACCTTGTAGAAACCCTTCCAATCAAAAATGCTGCCCAAGCAAACGGAGGATCGTGAGTGTCTGTCTCGGGCAGGAAAACTTCCAAAACTTGTCCTCTGACTGGTGACAATTCGGCCCATTGCACCCGATCTTCTGGCGAGATCTCGGCTCCTTCGCCGCCGAAAGACGCCATTGCTTATCCAGACCTGTCCAAGGCCTGTCGTCCTTGTGCCACTGATGAAAGTTCCAACAAACCAGGTCCAGCTTTTCGATGAACTCGGGTATTGGGGTCCTCTGCCAAGCGGTGCAGGCGTTGGTGATTTCGCCCCGCTCTTCGATTCTTTTTCTTTCCTCGTCGATCTCGATCTCGATCACTGTGCCTTCGTCCACGAGAGCGGCTACGAGGTGCACGGCTATGGCCAGCACTCTCCCGATCCCGTCTTGGAGAAGTCTCACGCCTTCGGTGACCTGAGCGGGACCTGTCAACAGCCTTGCGCTTAGGTTCAGCTCCTCTCTCACCACCACCTCCTCGTCCTCGAGCTCCTCTTCTTCTTCTCCTTCCCAATCACCTGAAGCCTCTTCTGTTGGTTCCTCCTTATTAGGTGCTGGAGGAGGAGGAGGTGTAGGAAGTTCAGGCCGCCGACGAGGCAGGGATTCACGACTTCTGTCAGCTGCCCTACCAGGAGTTTCGGCTCTTTCTGAACCTGGCCTTACTGATCTAGCTCGGCTCGCACCAGCTGAACCAGACAAGCCCCCACCCACAGCAACACCTGCGCTTAGGGATCTCAAGGCTCTAATCTGCCTTGCAGTGTTCAAGATCAGATCGTTTGCTAAAACCTTAGCACCAGGGATATCCCAATGAGCGCAAAGCTCACGACCGGCTGCCTCCCAGCCTGTGCAGCCTGCACACCAAAGATCCCCCTCAAGCGCTGCGGAATGGCGACACTTCGGACAAATGGGTGGGGGCATCTACACGCTAAAAGAAATTGGTCTTTGAGATAAATATCGCAGAGAGTCAGGTACGATGTTCAGCCTAAACTTCTACCAGAAAGTCTATGTGTGTGTGTGTAAATGTATATGTTAAAGTAATGTGTATGTATATATATATATATAGCTTATCACACATTAGATTCATTAGATGATATGTATGTGTATATATATATATATACATTGCATTGAGGGGCTCATCACGCACTAACATTGGGGGCTCAAGTTGAAGCACCAAACAAATCAAATAAATGATTCAACCAACAAATAAGCATTGTTCAAAAAAAAGGCCATTCTTCAAAGCAAAGTTTCATCGGGGTGAGCTAAACCCACTTTTCAGATCTTTTCAGTGGATCATCTGGCCCTCTGGACAAAAAGCATGTGGAATGTGTTCACCATTCAGGACCACTGGGCAGGATGTCATCTGCAGGTTGGCACCATTGGAACAGCGAACAATTTCTGATCTCAAAAAATTCTTTGCCAACATCTGGACGGCCATGGACTGATCTCCCACAGCTCGACTCAATATTCTATGCCAACATCTGTTTCTGCAAACCAGACATCAGTTGCCTACCCTTCCCATCCCTTCCCCCCCCCAAAAAACACTACTAGATCTACTAGTGCAAAGCAAGTGGCCTGAATTTCACCAGCTGTTCCTGGTGCCAGAGTCGGCCAGATTTTTTTCATGGTACCAGTTGAATCCTCAACTGATCAGCACTAAACTTCCAACCATCACAACTCCAAATATGGCCATTTAAATATGGATCATCATGATAAACCACTGGATGGTCGTATTTTTTCCACAAAATTCTCAGAAGAGCGCCAGAAAGCCACATCCCAGCAGCGCAGCCGTATCCTGAGGTGTAGTAGTAAGTCTGGTCCCTTGAGATCACCATCCGCATGTGATTGTTGCTCGTGTGGAAGACCAACAAAGGCTCCCTGCAGTGATGGATGGTCCCCCCGAAACCAATGGATAATCCGAGTTGACATGGAAATTCTACAGAATTATCCCTATGAACTGGTGGAATTCCAAAGGCTTGAGTGATGGGCATGATCTTATAATCTTATCAGTTGCTCATCTCTCTTCAGAAATGCCAACGAAGCGTAGGCCTGAATTCTGCCTACTACTAGTGATCAAAACTCCACACAACTCCATAGAAAGCGCAGAGCTCCTCAAAAAAGAAATGGAGTTCTGCTTTCATCTTTGGAAGGATCAAAAACCGGTTCAATAGTCTTCAAAGCCACAAGTTTCCAAGCGAAACGTCCCATCACCAGTAGCTGCCAAGGAGCTGGTTGGTGAACACCGTGAGGTTCAGATTCCACACAGCCAAAATCCCATTTGTTGAGCTGCTGGCGATCCTATCACGGCCCTGCGCCGCGGCGAATCAATGGGCCGGTTGAAATGAACTGGGAGGATGACACTGAACAGCAAGAACACCAAGAACAGCAGCAGCAGCAGCAGCATCATCACCATCATCATCGTCATCATCATCATCGTCATCGTCATCGTCATCATCATCATCATCATCGTCATCATCATCATCATCATCGTCATCGTCATCATCATCATCATCATCGTCATCATCGTCATCATCGTCATCATCATCATCATCATCACCATCACCATCACCATCATTATCATCATCAGGAAGACGAAGAAGACGAAGAAGAAGAAGAAGAAGAAAAAGAAGAAAAAGAAGAAGAAAAAAAAAGAAAAAGAAAAAGAAGAACAGGAAGAATCAGAAGAACGAGACGAGCCAGGAGAAGAACAAGGACAAGAGGAACAAGAGGAGCACCACCAAAACGTATCCTTGGTGGTGCTTTCCTGATTGCATTTGCCCGCCTGCAGCACCAAGCTCAACACGTTGTTCGTTGGGATGTTACCTTGGGGCTTCATGTGCTGCAATGTGGGGATGACCTGGCTGCCTCAGAGAATCAACCCGCAAAACACATGGTCCAACCCACGAAGCCTGGCTGAGAGTAGCAGCTGCCGCCAACAGTCATGTCCGCCACAAACATTCGACAGATCCTGCAGGCAATGACTGGAGCACCCAGTTGCCTGAGGTCTTACTACCTACGAAGGGTTCATCGAACCTCCGCAAAAGAAATGTTACATCAGGGCAAATACTCAGTCCCAAATCTTTGAGGCCCTTTCGGGATACGTCCCTTACCAAGCATCATTAAAGGGTGAGACCAGCCAGTGAGGTCGCTAGAATTGACCCAGGCAACATCCATCTGCCCACCTTCCATTGCTGCTACCGCTGTAGATCTCCAAGCCATCGGCAGAGACCTGCAACGCGTTGATCTGACTGCCAGGGTAGAAGCAGTGCGACGTGTCCTGAAGGCCACGGTGGCTGCTTTCTTTAAGGGCAAATCGTCGAGAGGAAGCCATGGTTTTTCCTGTCAAATATGAGGTTTCCCGGTTTCCCGTAAATTGTCCATTCAGCCGATTCCGGGATGTAAGGGTTCCTCTGATATACTGTCCTCTTCTCACTATCATATTGCTGATCAATGCCATACAGTATATGTATATGGTAATTAGTGGGATTCTACTGTCAAGTGTGTCCAAAGAGGGGGAACCCCAAAATACACCGGCTGATGGTTGCTCTTGGCAAGTAAACAAATCGGTCTTGGGTTCTCAGAGGTTTTGAGCTGACTACAGTATCCCCACTCTACGTTGCTGCTGGAATCCCCGTATTTCTCACTTAGATTCCCAGTCTTGTCGGGATGTTCAGCTAGCCAAGATTTTTGGGTGTCTACAATCCCACCCCCGTAATATTAAAATTATATAAAATTATGAAATATCAGCAAAACAACCCAAAATCAATAGCTCCAATACTAAACCTAGGGTCTCATGTCATACTAGGAAGGGATCATTGGTGCTTATTCCTATGACCCACTGGCCCCAGCAGCACCCCACCAGCCTCCAAGCAAACACTGCCAGCACTGGTCCCAACCGCATATCTGGCATAGCTCTGCCCAAAGGACAGCATGGCAGTTGCCTTGGAAGAACAGTTGGACCATTTTAGCTCATGGTTGTGTACTGTATAAAACCCAAAAAAGATAGGAAAGTACAATCCGATTCTAAAACTATAGTGACTAGAGGTTTGGGATGATTTTAGCACTGTTCTTTCCAGTTGCTTGTTTAATATGTGGTTTTTCTGTGACTCAACCATTGGATCGAGATCCAAGTGACGGCCTCACCGCCAAATAAGGGAACCACTCTCAGGACTGCAGGGGCGTCAGCTTCGGATGCCGTGGGCATTTGCATGATGACCACTTTGGTTCCTGTGGGCAGTGGGAGGTCATGCGCTGCACTGTGTTGACCCCCAAAAAACATGGTTTGATATGGTTTGATACCAAAAGCAGTTGGAATCTGATCCCTAATATCCCTAAAACTTGGATGGTGCATCTAATCCGCCGACCCCTGCCGCCAGCGCGTCAGAGGAGGCCTTACTAGCAACAAGGGGCGAAAAGAGAAGGTTAAGAAAGCAATGTTAGGCACTGGGGGCCGTGGCCCGCAGGCCTCGTCCGTCCCTCAGGGCCTTGCTGTTTGGCTGTGGCGGAGGCGCCGTTTTAGGTTAGACAGCTACTTTTCTTGTAGGTTCAGAAAGCAACGTTAAGCTAGTTTCTTACTAGCAGCAAGGTGCAAGAAGTAATTACAAGTAGCAAGGGGCAGGACCCAAGCTGACGGCAGTTTGGATTGGAGCTAGTTTGTTACCAGCAGCAAGGTGCAAGAAGTAATTACAAGTAAAAGCAAGGTTTGAAGCTAGGTCCTTGGACCCGAGCTGATGGCAGGACCCGAGCTGACGGCAGGAAAAAGCAAGGTTTGAAGCTAGTTTCGAGGCAGTTCAGAAAGTGACGTTTGGCACTTTGGGCTACGGGCCGCAGGCCCGGTCCGTCCTTCACTGCCATGGTGTTTGAGCCCTGCTAGGGGGTCCTTTGACCGGAGCCGTGCAGCACAAAAGGCAGCTGCAAGACGACGCCGGCAAGTTGGCAATTGGCAGAGCAGGAGGGCAAGTAAAAGCAAGGTTTGAAGCTAGTTTCTAGGCAGTTCAGAAAGCGACGTTTGGCAGTCTGGGCTGCCGGCCGCGGGCCCGCTCCGTCCTTCACTGCCATGATGTTTGAGCCCTGCGAGGGGGTCCTTTGATCGGAGCCTGACCGGAGCCGCGCAGCACAAAACGCAGCTGCAAGACAACGCAGGCAAGTTGGCAGTTGGCAGAGCAGGAGGGCAAGTAAAAGCAAGGTTTGAAGCTAGTTTCTAGGCAGTTCAGAAAGCGACGTTTGGCAGTCTAGGCTGCCGGCCGCGGGCCCGCCGTCCTTCACTGCCATGGTGTTTGAGCCCTGCGAGGGGGGTCCCTTGACCGGAGCCGTGCAGCACAAAAGCCAGCTGCAAGACGACGCAGGCAAGTTGGCAGTTGGCAGAGCAGGAGGGCACGTAAAAGCAAGGTTTGAAGCTAGTTTCTAGGCAGTTCAGAAAGTGACGTTTGGCAGTCTGGGCTGCCGGCCGCGGGCCCGCTCCGTCCTTCACTGCCATGGTGTTTGAGCCCTGCGAGGGGGTCCCTTGACCGGAGCCGTGCAGCACAAAAGCCAGCTGCAAGACAACGCAGGCAAGTTGGCAGTTGGCAGAGCAGGAAGGCAAGTAAAAGCAAGGTTTGAAGCTAGTTTCTAGGCAGTTCAGAAAGCGACGTTTGGCAGTCTGGGCTGCCGGCCGCGGGCCCGCTCCGTCCTTCACTGCCATGGTGCTTGAGCCCTGCGAGGGGGTCCTTTGACCGGAGCCTGACCGGAGCCGTGCAGCACAAAAGCCAGCTGCAAGACAACGCAGGCAAGTTGGCAGTTGGCAGAGCAGGAAGGCACGTAAAAGCAAGGTTTGAAGCTAGTTTCTAGGCAGTTCAGAAAGTGACGTTTGGCAGTCTGGGCTGCCGGCCGCGGGCCCGCTCCGTCCTTCACTGCCATGGTGTTTGAGCCCTGCGAGGGGGTCCCTTGACCGGAGCCGTGCAGCACAAAAGCCAGCTGCAAGACAACGCCGGCAAGTTGGCAGCTGGCAGAGCAGGAGGGCAAGTAAAAGCAAGGTTTGAAGCTAGTTTCTAGGCAGTTCAGAAAGCGACGTTTGGCAGTCTGGGCTGCTGGCAACGGGCCCGCTCCGTCCTTCACTGCCATGGTGTTTGAGCCCTGCGAGGGGGTCCCTTGACCGGAGCCGTGCAGCACAAAAGCCAGCTGTAAGACAACGCAGGCAAGTTGGCAGTTGGCAGAGCAGGAAGGCAAGTAAAAGCAAGGTTTGAAGCTAGTTTCTAGGCAGTTCAGAAAGTGACGTTTGGCAGTCTGGGCTGCCGGCAACGGGCCCGCGCCGTCCTTCACTGCCATGGGGTGTGAGCCCTGCGAGGGGGTCCCTTGACCGGAGCCGTGCAGCACAAAAGCCAGCTGCAAGACAACGCAGGCAAGTTGGCAGTTGGCAGAGCAGGAGGGCACGTAAAAGCAAGGTTTGAAGCTAGTTTCTAGGCAGTTCAGAAAGCGACGTTTGGCAGTCTGGGCTGCCGCCCGCGGGCCCGCTCCGTCCTTCACTGCCATGGTGTTTGAGCCCTGCGAGGGGGTCCTTTGACCGGAGCCGTGCAGCACAAAAGCCAGCTGCAAGACGACGCAGGCAAGTTGGCAGTTGGCAGAGCAGGAGGGCACGTAAAAGCAAGGTTTGAAGCTAGTTTCTAGCAGTTCAGAAAGCGACGTTTGGCAGTCTGGGCTGCCGGCCGCGGGCCCGCTCCGTCCTTCACTGCCAGGTGTTTGAGCCCTGCGAGGGGGTCCTTTGACTGGAGCCTGACCGGAGCCGTGCAGCACAAAAGCCAGCTGCAAGACGACGCCGGCAAGTTGGCAGTTGGCAGAGCAGGAGGGCAGTAAAAGCAAGGTTTGAAGCTAGTTTCTAGGCAGTTCAGAAAGCGACGTTTGGCAGTCTGGGCTGCCGGCCGCGGGCCCGCTCCGTCCTTCACTGCCATGGTGTTTGAGCCCTGCGAGGGGGTCCCTTGACCGGAGCCGTGCAGCACAAAAGCCACGCAGGCAAGTTGGCAGTTGGCAGAGCAGGAGGGCAAGTAAAAGCAAGGTTTGAAGCTAGTTTCTAGGCAGTTCAGAAAGCGACGTTTGGCAGTCTGGGCTGCCGGCCGCGGGCCCGCTCCGTCCTTCACTGCCATTGTGTTTGAGCCCTGCGAGGGGGTCCCTTGACCGGAGCCGTGCAGCACAAAAGCCAGCTGCAAGACAACGCGGGCAAGTTGGCAGTTGGCAGAGCAGGAAGGCAAGTAAAAGCAAGGTTTGAAGCTAGTTTCTAGGCAGTTCAGAAAGCGACGTTTGGCAGTCTGGGCTGCCGGCCGCGGGCCCGCTCCGTCCTTCACTGCCATGGTGTTTGAGCCCTGCGAGGGGGTCCCTTGACCGGAGCCGTGCAGCACAAAAGCCAGCTGCAAGACGACGCAGGCAAGTTGGCAGTTGGCAGAGCAGGAGGGCAAGTAAAAGCAAGGTTTGAAGCTAGTTTCTAGGCAGTTCAGAAAGCGACGTTTGGCAGTCTGGGCTGCCGGCCGCGGGCCCGCTCCGTCCTTCACTGCCATGGTGTTTGAGCCCTGCGAGGGGGTCCCTTGACCGGAGCCGTGCAGCACAAAAGCCAGCTGCAAGACGACGCAGGCAAGTTGGTTGGCAGTTGGCAGAGCAGGAGGGCAAGTAAAAGCAAGGTTTGAAGCTAGTTTCTAGGCAGTTCAGAAAGCGACGTTTGGCAGTCTGGGCTGCCGGCCGCGGGCCCGCTCCGTCCTTCACTGCCATGGTGTTTGAGCCCTGCGAGGGGGTCCCTTGACCGGAGCCGTGCAGCACAAAAGCCAGCTGCAAGACGACGCAGGCAAGTTGGCAGTTGGCAGAGCAGGAGGGCACGTAAAAGCAAGGTTTGAAGCTAGTTTCTAGGCAGTTCAGAAAGTGACGTTTGGCAGTCTGGCTGCCGGCCGCGGGCCCGCTCCGTCCTTCACTGCCATGGTGTTTGAGCCCTGCGAGGGGGTCCCTTGACCGGAGCCGTGCAGCACAAAAGCCAGCTGCAAGACGACGCAGGCAAGTTGGCTGGCAGTTGGCAAAGCAGGAAGGCAAGTAAAAGCAAGGTTTGAAGCTAGTTTCTAGGCAGTTCAGAAAGCGACGTTTGGCAGTCTGGGCTGCCGGCCGCGGGCCCAGTCCGTCCTTCACTGCCATGGTGTTTGAGCCCTGCGAGGGGGTCCTTTGACCGGAGCCGTGCAGCACAAAAGCCAGCTGCAAGACAACGCAGGCAAGTTGGCAGTTGGCAGAGCAGGAAGGCACGTAAAAGCAAGGTTTGAAGCTAGTTTCTAGGCAGTTCAGAAAGCGACGTTTGGCAGTCTGGGCTGCCGGCCGCGGGCCCGCTCCGTCCTTTCACTGCCATGGTGTTTGAGCCCTGCGAGGGGGTCCCTTGACCGGACCCGTGCAGCACAAAAGCCAGCTGCAAGACGACGCAGGCAAGTTGGCAGTTGGCAGAGCAGGAGGGCACGTAAAAGCAAGGTTTGAAGCTAGTTTAGGCAGTTCAGAAAGCGACGTTTGGCAGTCTGGGCTGCCGGCCGCGGGCCCGCTCCGTCCTTCACTGCCATGGTGTCTGAGCCCTGTGAGGGGGTCCTTTGACCGGAGCCATGCAGCACAAAAGCCAGCTGCAAGACGACGCAGGCAAGTTGGCAGTTGGCAGAGCAGGAGGGCACGTAAAAGCAAGGTTTGAAGCTAGTTTCTAGGCAGTTCAGAAAGCGACGTTTGGCAGTCTGGGCTGCCGGCCGCGGGCCCGCTCCGTCCTTCACTGCCATGGTGTTTGAGCCCTGCGAGGGGGTCCTTTGACCGGAGCCGTGCAGCACAAAAGGCAGCTGCAAGACGACGCAGGCAAGTTGGCAGTTGGCAGAGCAGGAGGGCAAGTAAAAGCAAGGTTTGAAGGTAGTTTCTAGGCAGTTCAGAAAGTGACGTTTGGCAGTCTGGGCTGCCGGCCGCGGGCCCGCTCCGTCCTTCACTGCCATGGTGTTTGAGCCCTCGGAGGGGGTCCCTTGACCGGAGCCGTGCAGCACAAAAGCCAGCTGCAAGACGACGCAGGCAAGTTGGCAGTTGGCAGGAGGGAACGTAAAAGCAAGGTTTGAAGCTAGTTTCTAGGCAGTTCAGAAAGTGACGTTTGGCAGTCTTGGCTGCCGGCCGCGGGCCCGCTCCGTCCTTCACTGCCATGGTGTTTGAGCCCTGCGAGGGGGTCCCTTGACCGGAGCCGTGCAGCACAAAAGC